CTATCACTACTTACTCAACATAAATCAACCAAATAGAAGTGGAAGACCAAAATTCAAAAATCAATTACAAATTTTCTTCTGAATCCCAATTCCCTTCTTATAAGTTAAATCTGAAAAAACTATATAACGAATTCATCCTTGTACAATGGGAAACCAAAGATTCACAACTCAAATTTGTAAGGCATTTCTTTGTTAATAGCAAATTCATACTGCAAAATTTGATTTGCTCTTAAAAATTTCTTGCACTTTAAACACATAAAATAGAAAAGAAAAAGGAACCCAAATATGATCCCAAAGAACAATCCCAATCAACATATAACACTACTCTTATCATTATTCTCTCCCCTGTACCAACAGTCCATCTCTCTACAAATTAATCTTATTTTTTAAAGACCTCTTTTTACTAATCTTTCTTTTATTTAATGTATTCTCAGAGAGAGAAGATGACATAAGTGCTTGATTATTGAAAGAAACAGTTCATATTTTAACAAAATTAAACAACTATGTTGGAAAAGAACTGGGTGCTACCATTCCTTATGACCTCTAACAGCTATTTGAGAAAGATACTATATAATAATTAAATAACATTACCTTTGGGAAAGTACTGGTAATTGGAACTGGAAGAACGGAAAGAACAATAAAAACATTTTTCACAGTGCCAGCTACAGGATTTCCTTCCATACCTTCTTGCATATTGCAATGAGAAAGTATAGAATTCAGTTAATTGAAATTAGATTTGAGGATTAAAAAGTAGTAAACAAAAAAAGAAAGATGATAGAGTTGAACTTAAATTTTAAGAAAGTACGAACTACGAAGATAGGGGTCTCTTGTTGACCAAAGAAGGGTAAGTTGGTAATCTGACAATATTTTGATCAATGGTCCTAAATGCTCTTTGATCCAACCATGTGCAAAAACATGAGAAGATAGACTAAACAAATTGTGTTCAGTTACCTTGAGCTTCTACAGGTTCAATCACCCCTCTCATCGGATCCAGCCATTCTGTATATGCGCAAAGAAAACCTTAAAAGATTACAATTTGCAAAACCAAGACAAAAAACCATCAAGTCCCCTCGATTAAAATTTGCAACTCTTGAAGAAGAAAGAAATGCAAAAGACCCCATTAAGAACATATATTGATGAATGAAATTCCAAACCTAGATAGCAAATCAAAAACCCACCTTTGAATTCAATTTGGTTACCTTTTGAATTATAAAATGCATTCCTTTAGGAGGAGCATCATCTTGCTTACTCTTTCAAACTAACACCCTATTTCTCTTTTCTAAATTGTAATTGGATGGAAGAAAAATCTAAGATTAGAGCTGGTTACTGAAAATTAAGATCCTCTAACCTCTCCCCTCGAATTCCTCTTCCTCTCCTTTAGAATTAAACTTAACTTCCCTTGGCCACCCCTAAAACATTGAAATAGAAGCAAAATTGAAAACTTAATTCAAATTCCATTATCTCCGCAAACCTCAGTAGCCAGGGTAGTTTTCCTAGAAATCAGACCATGGTCCTTTAAACAGCATAGCATCTTTTATTTCTTAGAGATCTATTACTGCCCAATCCTAGAAAATTTTTAACAAATATCAGGGAAAAGAAATATCAAGAAAAGAAGAACTATTGTTGCATGAAAGCAATAGTATGGCATTTGATTCAACAAAATTAGTCTGAGGTTAACATTTCAGAAAAAGGTCATGAACAATTTCCGAATAATAAAATCAAATGATTACCTAAAGCTGCATTAGGAAGGACTGTGATGCGGCACAAATGGTTGAAAACAAACGCACTTGCCTAATTGAATTGAGGAAAGACTTGGTAACATCAATCAAAGACAACGATCGACGGATTTCCAATTTTGTGTTCTAAATCAAACTGACGAATTCGAATAAAATTTCAGTGAGAGAGGCTGTTTAAATGCAGGATCTTAAATGCATTAAGTAAATCCGCCATGGGAGTACTACAGAGAGTCGGTGATGGTGTTGATGGAAGGGTAAAAGCCAAAACAGAAAGACTGGGGCGGTGTAGACTGTGGAGTGCTCTGCGAGATTCTTCTTGGGGGAGAAGTTTTTGGTGGTTACTAGAACGGAAGAAGTTTCAGGCAGTTATTAATGCCAAAGCAAAGTGGCATGTGATGTTGTTTTGG